TGAAGCTCACAATCTCACAGATCGGAAAATTTGGGTTTTCTGTGAATTGTGATCATTTTCTATAGATTTTAAGCTATTTTTTGAGCATTTCTCTCCCTTTTTCCAGTCCATCTGTGCATCCAGATGTCCACACCTACGTCTATCCGGCGTCGGCAATCCTGGAATCTCGCAATATCGATAATCCTTCGATTTATTGAAATTTTTCGCCTCGAAATCTGGCAGAAACTCAAGTTTTCGCTTGTTGAATTGCTGAAAATCAGGAGATTGCTCAGTTTTAGAAGAAACTACAGTACTACCCTACCTCTTCAAGTAGATATCTGAAATCCGTTGTGCATTGCTCATCAGTGATAATTCCAAATGCCTTCTTCTTTTCCTCCATTTTTACATCGACTGGCGCGCCTTCGGCGCGTTTTTCAGTTTTCGGAAATTCCGAAACTAGACTACTCATTGGTGGATCGTCCTCTTCGTCGATTTTCTGGAATTTTGGGCCCATTTTTTAAGAAATTCTGGATCAAAAAATAGACATTTTCAGTTGTAAAAAACAACGGAAAGTTGAAAATTCCGCTGAAAAATGGGCTCTTTAAAAGTGATTTTTCAGCAAATTTCGATCAATTTTTGGTCAGTTTTTCTATCAAAAAATTGCAAAAAATTGCAGATTTTCTAGACAATTTTCATTGATTTTATGTGATTTCTAATCGATTTTAATACAATTTTTCAATGATTTTCAGACTGTTTTCAGCCAAATTACCTCATTTTCAGGGGCAAAAATTCCAAAAAATTCAGTCAATTTTCAGACAAATTCCACAAATTTTTTTCACTGAAAATTCCAGATTTTTAAGCCTATTTTCAGCTGATTTCCTTCATTTTTTGAGTAAAATTCCTTTTCAGTGATTTTTGGTGATTTTTTATCGATTTTCTGGGGAATTTTTCGTGATTTTGAAGCAATTTTTCTTAGTTTTCGACCATTTTCAGACTAAAAACCTCGAAATTTCAGACTTTCACCTACAAAAGAGCCATCCGAAGATCCTAATTGTGTCAATTCCGCCAAATTCGATGCTGGTCCATCCGCATCTCCATCATCTTCATCCACTTCCATTTTCATGTCTTCCTCTTCTTCAATTTTAACACTTTCTTCTGGAATTTCCAATTTTTGTGGACTTGGACTAGCTGGCGAGAACACATCTGGTGATAGAGAGCGATGGGAGGATGGATCCTGGAAAATGTTAGATTGCTCAGCTTAGAAATTGACGATTTTCAGTAGTTTTATTGTGAATTTTGTGCCATATTTGGCATATTTTCAGCAAAAAATTTTCAGCTATTTTCAGCGAGTTTTCAGTGACTTTCAGGAAAAGTTCTGCAATTTGTTGCAATTTTCAATTTTAAAGGGATTTTAAGAGCAATTTTTTTCAGCCATTTTTAGTCGCTTTCAGAGATTTTCACAGTTTTATTTCATATTGATTTTCAGCGATTTTCAGTGATTTTCTAGCGATTTTCAAAGATTTTAAGCGATATATATTTAGCGGTTTCCAGCGATTTTTTCAGCTATCTTCAAGAGATTTTCAGGCGATTTCAAAGCTATTTTCTAGCGATTTCCCAGCGCTTTTTAGCCGACTTTCCAGTGATTTTTGAACGATTTCTATGAATTTCTAAGCGATTTTTAAGCATTTTCAGCGATTTTAAGACAATTTTCAGAGATTTTTCAGCTATTTTAAGCGTTTCTAGATGAGTTTTAAGCTAATTTCCAGCGATTTTCATTCGATTATCAGTGATTTTCGGCGATTTTTACAGAATTCGAAGCGATTTTTCCGACGAAAACTTACCCCGTTTAGTCTCATTTCCCAGTGATTTTAGAGCAATTCTGGAGCCATTTTAGGCAGATTTTCAACGATTTTCAGCACTTTTTAGGTGTTTTTTTGTGCCCCCACACTGTCAATTTTGAGCTCTTCTATTACAGGTTTTACGGTATTTCTCAGCGATTTTTAGCCATTTTTTTCTAGCTATTTAGATTGATTTTTAGCGATTTTTTCAGCAAATTTTCAGCTTTGTTCTATCGATTTTAAGGATTTTTTTTCCAGAAAGGCGATTTTTCATCAATTTTCAAATCAAATTCAGGGAGTTTCCATACGCATTTGCTAGTAATTTTCAGCGATTTTAAGACAATTTTCAGAGATTTTCCAGCGACTTCCAGCTATTTCAGAGGGATTTTGAGCTATTTTCAAGCGATTTCATGCGAATTTTAGAGCATTTTTCTAGCGATTTTCTAGCGTTTTTTTTCAGCTATCTTCAAGAGATATTCAGATTTTTAAAGAGTTATTTCTAGCAATTTTTAAGCGCTTTTAAAGCAAATTCTAGCTGGTTCTTATAAAATTTTCAGTCATTATTTAGTGATTTTTTGCGGATTTTCAGCCATTTTTAAAGCTATTTTTCAGAGATTTCCCAGCGATTCGCACCCTGTGATCCTCAAATCTCTCCGATTGCATTTCTTTCATCATTTCTGCATCCATGTCATCTGAATTCGTCGAATTATTCAGATTCAATTGCTTATCTTTTGTGGGTTCTGGCGTCTTTTTCACTATCGATTTTTGGTCCATAATCTCCCCAAAATCACTAAATTCCTCTCCGATTTCTGCCGATCCACTATCCGATCTATCCTCGTATGCAATTCCACGTTGTTGTGGGGATTCTGATTCCTGAGAATCCAGAACGACGTCTTCTGGAGCGTTCAGCTCCTCTTGACACGTCTCATAGCAACTCTCCTGGCTGGAATTCGTTGCAAATACATCCCTGGATTTCGACTCTTCTGGATCTTCATCTTTCTGAAGACGTCGCGCGGCGGATTCTGACGTCTTCAACGGGGATTGTTGATTCTTGATTTCGTAACGTGGCCTTTTGCGATTCGGCGAGGAGATGGACTCGGTTCTCGATTTGATCTTCTTCTGGACTTCGTGATGGACCAGGCCAACGCCGCCAATGTACTCTTCGAATTCTTTTTGCTGAAATTTAATTTTCAGCTCTAAGGATTTTAAGCTGAGCAATCGGGCATTTTAAAAATCAAAAATTGGGCTGAAAATCGTCAGAAATAGGTCAAAACTCCAAATTTTATTGGTTTGCGTTTTCTAGGTCATGTCCTAGTTTTTTGGAATTTCTAGGCCATGACCCAGATTTTGGATTTTCTAGGCCATGACCCAGATTTTGGATTTCCTTGGCCATGGCCTAGTTTTTTGGAATTTCTAGGCCATGACCTAGATTTTGGATTTTCTAGGCCATGACCCAGATTTTGGATTTCCTTGGCCATGACCCAGATTTTTGATTTTCTAGGCCATGACCCAGATTTTTGATTTTCTAGGCCATGACCCAGATTTTGGATTTCCTTGGCCATGGCCTAGTTTTTTGAATTTTCTAGGTCATGACCTAGATTTTGGAATTTCTAGACCATGGCCTAGTTTTTGGAATTTCTAGGCCATGACCCAGATTTTGGATTTCCTTGGCCATGGCCTAGTTTTTTGGAATTTCTAGGCCATGACCTAGATTTTGGATTTTCTAGGCCATGACCCAGATTTTGGATTTCCTTGGCCATGGCCTAGTTTTTTGAATTTTCTAGGCCATGACCCAGATTTTGGATTTTCTAGGCCATGACCCAGATTTTGGATTTCCTTGGCCATGGCCTAGTTTTTTGGAATTTCTAGGCCATGACCCAGATTTTGGATTTTCTAGGCCATGACCCAGATTTTGGAATTTCTAGGTCATGACCCAGATTTTGGAATTTCTAGGTCATGACCCAGATTTTTGATTTTCTAGGCCATGACCCAGATTTTGGATTTCCTTGGCCATGGCCTAGTTTTTTGAATTTTCTAGGCCATGACCCAGATTTTGGAATTTCTAGGCCATGACCCAGATTTTGGATTTCCTTGGCCATGGCCTAGTTTTTTGGAATTTCTAGGCCATGACCTAGATTTTGGATTTTCTAGGCCATGACCCAGATTTTGGATTTCCTTGGCCATGGCCTAGTTTTTTGGAATTTCTAGGCCATGACCCAGATTTTGGATTTTCTAGGCCATGACCCAGATTTTGGATTTTCTAGGCCATGACCCAGATTTTTGATTTTCTAGGCCATGACCCAGATTTTGGATTTCCTTGGCCATGGCCTAGTTTTTTGAATTTTCTAGGTCATGACCTAGATTTTGGAATTTCTAGGCCATGGCCTAGTTTTTGGAATTTCTAGGCCATGACCCAGGTTTTGGATTTCCTTGGCCATGGCCTAGTTTTTTGGAATTTCTAGGCCATGACCCAGATTTTGGAATTTCTAGGCCATGACCCAGATTTTGGATTTCCTTGGCCATGGCCTAGTTTTTTGGAATTTCTAGGCCATGACCTAGATTTTGGATTTTCTAGGCCATGACCCAGATTTTGGATTTCCTTGGCCATGGCCTAGTTTTTTGGAATTTCTAGGCCATGACCCAGATTTTTGATTTTCTAGGCCATGACCCAGATTTTGGATTTCCTTGGCCATGGCCTAGTTTTTTGAATTTTCTAGGTCATGACCTAGATTTTGGAATTTCTAGGCCATGGCCTAGTTTTTGGATTTCCTTGGTCATGTCCTAGTTTTTTGAATTTTCTAGGTCATGACCTAGATTTTGGAATTTCTAGGCCATGGCCTAGTTTTTTGGAATTTCTAGGTCATGACCTAGATTTTCATTGGGAAGTTTTCAGATTTTCAGAAATAAATGGTTACTGTAGCTAGAATACTGTAGCCACCTTCCGTCTGCCAAAATGTGGGGGGGGGGGCTTGTTGGATACGGTAGCCTAGACCAAACTTTGAAAGGGATAACGTGTGTTGGAAGGAAGGGGTACTGTAGATTCCTTCGGATTACTGTAGTTTTCGACTCTTTGACATATTTTGGACCATTTTCAAGCTGATTTTCCCCGTTTTTTCCATAACAATTCAACATTTCAAAAGAAACTGACATCTGAATCATTCTGATTCGAATTCGCGGGTTCCAGCATTTGTTTTGTGCGGTTTTCTTTTGGTCCAAGACGATTTTGACTGAAAAAAATAGCTTAAAAATTGTGTTTTAAGGCCAAAAAAAGTAGAAAAAAAGTGAGGTTTTTAAGGATGAGCAATCGAAAAAAGGAAGAAATTTTCAGCTAATTTCCAGCCGATTTCCAGTCATTTTGGACCGATTTCGGATCATTTTTAGGGACAGTTTTTTAATCAATTTTCCGATTTTTGTACAAAATTTGACTCAATTTTTCTAATCGATTTTCAGCTTTTTTCAATAAATTTGAACAAAATTTTTGATTTTTATATATTTTTTCATCATTTTCCATGATTTTTAGATCATTTTGAGCCATTTTCAAGCGATTTATGACCGAAAAAACCCCGGATTTTTCATTTTTAATATGATTTTTGGACTTTTTTTCTGATTTTGATACTATTTTCTATCATTTTTAGGTCATTTTTTTTTGATTTTTGGACCATTTCAAACAATTTTTCATCAATTTCTATCAATATTGGACCTTTTTTAACCCCAAAATCCCTTCAAATCCCATCCGAATTCCTTATCTTGTAAACCTCGAACAAGTTGCAAAACCCCTCGAAAACGAAGATTTTAATCTATTTTTGGTTTTAGCAGAGATTTCCAAAAAAAGATAAAATCCCAAAACCATAAACATAAAGAAGAAGCTAGTTAGCCAAAGTTTCATTTAGCCACTTTGAAACTATAGCTAGACGAAAAACTACAGTAATACCCTCGAAAATTGGTCTAAACTACCGTAATCCCCACTACAGTAAGCCTTCGAAAACTACAGTATTCCAGCTACCATATCAACCTTTTTCCTAGAAATTTTTCAACAAAAATCAGAGGAAAAACTACAGTAATCCTTTGAAACTAGAGTGTTCCGGCTACCGTAATCCTATAGTATTCTTGCACTATTTATCGCCAAAGGAAACTACAGTACCCTTTCCTACAGTAATCAAGCCCTCAATTTAGGTTTAAACTACCGTATCCCTCTGAAGGACGGAAATTACAATATTTTCAGCTACAGTAATCCTACAGCGTTCCTGCTCAACCTTTACTTCCAAGAGGAACTACAGTACCCCTTCCTACAGTAATCCACTTCAAAATTGGTCTGAACCACCGTTATTCCCGCTACAGTACTCCTTTGAAAACTGCAGTATTTAGTCTACAGTAATCCTACAGTATTCCTACTCAACTTTTATCTCCAAAGGAAGCTACAGTACCCTTTTCTACAGTAATCCCGTTAAAGCCCTATTCTGGAAGACGATAATCTACACTTTTCCATTTGCAACAACTACAGCACCCCTGCCAACCATAATCCTCTTAAAATCGGTCCAAACTACGGCATCTCTCAGGAAGACGGAAGACTACAGTAACCCTTTCTACAGTATTCCAATCTCCTCAAAATTGGTCTAAACTACCGTATTCTGATATCCCCGGAACCTCCGAACTACCCTAAATCATCCAAAATGTGGTCCCCTTCCATTCAACGAATCATCATAACTACCGTAATCCTACTATTCCTAATTAAATTCTTTTTTTGGAAAAATGAGCAATCCAAACTCGATTCTGAGGAGAATCAAGATTCTGAGAAGGAGAATTATTGGGATTCCATTCAAAAATTGAATTCATTTTCAATCAATGAAGGCGATGAGAAGCGATATGAGCTCTACAGTAATCTTCCAGCGAATCCAAATTTAGCCAAGATTCCCAAAAAATTGGCGGTGAGTTAGAACAGCCAATTAGGACCCGAAAGTCCCCAAAAAGCTCCAAAACTACCGTACTCAATCGGATAAACTAGAAGCCAAACACCGCCAAGGGTACAGTAACCTAGGCTATCCGAGAAGCCTTGATGGGCACTGTTAACCGTTTAGCTACTAAACAAGATTAAACTGGTCCACTTAAAGCAAAGATTTGGGGTTCAAAATTGCGCCCAGGATTACTGTAGCTTTCCCTACAGATTACTGTAGTTCCAGGCCGATTCTCTGTGTCTCTCAAAATCACTTTATCACTATCGATTTGAGCTTCTAGATTTTACTTTTGACCGTTTTTTGGAAGGTTCGAATATATATATACAGTGCGTTTCAATATTATACGTCCACTCTTGTTTTTGGCCGTAACTTGAGAACCGGTTGAGATATCAATCTAATTTTATTAAAATTGAATTCAGAGCAACAAATTACATCTAGAAAACCATTTTTGAGAAAAAATATTGAAAACTACTCGAGATACAGAGAAAAATCTGAAAATGTGACATTTGCAACCGTTTCAAAATTATACGTCCACTTCAAAGGTATGTCGATCTTGACCTTTGGCGGAGCCGGAAAAGCTTGAATTTAGTTTTGTTTTTTGCTGCCAATGTGAGAAACTTTTTTCATTATGCTTTTCCTTGTTTTTCTCCACTTTTCAACATGTCTCGTGGCCATTTGCTCACTGATGCTGAAAAAGCCTTCATCGACGCGTTCAAAACCTCTGGTTGGACCAACAGGGCTATCGCGAAACATCTAAATCGTTCCCACGATTGCATTAATCGTTTTGGATCGAACCGGACCCGCAACAATCAACCCAACAAGGCTGGACGTCCTCCAAAACTCAATTCAAGAGCCAAACGATCAATCGTTCGTGTGGCTTCAAACACCATGAAGTCTTGTAATGATATCAAAAAAGAGCTGAATCTTGGAGTGAGCAAGTGTACAATCTGGAGGGCTCTTAAGGATGATCCAAACATCAAAAGAGCAGTCATGCGCCCTGCTCCGAAGCTCACTGACAATCACAAAACTCGCCGTCTCGACTTCGCTCGAAAAAACATGGGAACCAACTGGGATAAGGTATTAAATTTAAAATTATCTATCCAAATTATCTTATCTTTTACAGGTAATTTTTTCGGACGAGAAAAAATTCAATCTTGATGGACCCGACGGATTCAAATCGTACTGGCACGACTTGCGGAAGGATCCAGCCGTTTTTGCCAAAAGAATTTCGGGGGAGGCAGTTTGATGGTATGGGGAGCATTTGCTTCGGCTGGATACTTGGAGCTCGCTTTCACCACTCGTCGAATGAACTCCACAGACTACCAAGACGTTCTCCAGAACACCTTATCCCCGTTTTCGTCGTCGATTCAGTCGCCGCCAGTTCATTTTTCAGCAAGATAATGGCTGCATCCATGTCAGCCGCTCCCACTTTTGGACTGGTTCCAATCGAAAAACATCGATGTCTTGCCATGGCCAGCTTGCTCTCCAGATCTGAATCCGATGGAAAATGTTTGGGGCGAGCTGGTTCGTCGTCTTTACCGCCATGGAAAGAAGTATGCTAGTATTGGAGAGCTTCGGGATGCGCTGATTGCTGAGTGGAGTCTGCTGGAGCAGGAGTTCAAGACTAAGAGCACCCAATACATCCAAAACCTTATCAAATCGATGCCAAATCGTCTCTTCGATGTCATTGCTGGTAAAGGTTCATCCACAAAGTATTGAAATATTTTTTATTCTCTATTTTAGCATTGATTCTGAGAGTGGACGTATAATTTTGAAACGGTTGCAAATTTCACATTTTCAGATTTTTCTCTGTATCTCGAGTAGTTTTCAATATTTTTTCTCAAAAATGGTTTTCTAGATGTAATTTGTTGCTCTGAATTCAATTTTAATGAAATTAGATTGATATCTCAACCGGTTCTCAAGTTACGGCCAAAAACAAGAGTGGACGTATAATATTGAAACGCACTGTATAGGATTACTGTAGTTGGAAACAATTGACTTAAAAAATGCCAAAAAGGTTCCAAATTAACTGTCATTGGTCCAAAAAATGGTCCAAAAAACGGGTCTGCAGTAATCCTATATATATATATAATCGAAAAAAAAACTTGAAGTAAAATCTAAAAGCTCAAATCAGTGATAAAGCGATTTTTAGAGACACAGCGAATTGTCTAGAACTACAGTAATATGTAGTGAAAGCTACTGTAATCCTGAGCGGCCTTTTGAGCACAAAATGATCAAAGCTGTCAAATTTCAGATTTTCTGAATCAGAAATCCTGATTACGGTACTTCTCCGGACTGCAAAGGTTACTGTAGCCTTGTGGCCTTGTCTTTTTCTAGCGAATTTTTCCTGACTGAAACTACAGTAACCCCTCTTAACGGGAACTTGAGAGCCAAACAGAGCCGTCTAGAACTCCAATAATCTCTTTGAGAGACCCAGAGAACCGTCTGGGACTACAGTAATCAGAAGTACCTTAACCATGAGGCACCACTAACCGTATAGCTATTCACCAAGCCTAGAACTACAGTAATCCTTTTTAAAGGGAATATCTAGGTTACGGTAACCTTGGGGTTCCTGATTGGACCATATCAAAGGTGTGCTTCTCGAGCGGATTACGATACTTTACGGATACGGTAGCTCCGAATTTCGAGAAAACAATCATTTTCCGTTTCTCGGGAACTACAGTAACCAGTTTTTGAAGTGACATTAGGATCCCTAGAACCACAGTAATCCCTCCCATCCATAGCTCCACGGTTAGTAACGCTCTCAGGGCTTCGCTAGGTACCGGTATCTCTGGGGTTTCAAAACTACAGTAATCCCCCGATTCCCTCAGGCAATCGACGCATCAAAAACGGCAATTTGTGAGACGGATACATTCATTGGTCAACAAGTTCTATGTAGTTTTGAAGAGAAGAGAGATGAAGAGACGTGAGAGAGATCAGAGAGAATCTTCTGGAATCTTCTGATTGATTGCAGATCATGTGATAGTGATTCACTTCAACATTACTCGGATTTCGATGATTTCGAACGAGAGAACGAGCTGGATTCGAATTTCACGAATTGGACGATTCTATTCGCGAGACGGGATCCCATCGAGCGATTTATCGATCATTTTATGGATTATTGTGTTAGGTAGAGTCTAGAATTCGGCGTTTTTCTAGCTGAAAATGGTCAACTTGTGGTCAATTTGAGCGATTTTCGGCTGAAAAATCGCTAAAAAAATCTCAATTTCCAGAGAATCCCGCGCTTGTTTCCAATGCCGTCTGGACCTTCGCTGTTTTCTGAACAACATCTACACTGAAATCGAGAAGATTCGAGCTGGAAACGTTACAGTAAACGAGGACGAGCTGAAATATGTCCCTCAACACTGGTTCTGTCAAATGGAGACCAAGAATCAGCGATTTGAATTTATCGATTACACGCTGTTTGCAAATCCAACGAATCCAGAGTATGCTGAGGCGAAGGTACAGTAATCCTGACTCAAATTTCACGATTTCTGGCTTGAAGTGAAGCTAGAATGCTCCATTTTGGCCTAAATCGCACTCAGAACCTTCTAGAACCTTCCAGAGGCGCATGAGACCGTCTGTAGAAACTAGGAATAGAGCCGGCCGCGGTTTGGGTCGTGGGCCAAACCGTTAGCTCAAAAGTTAGGACATTTACAGGTCCAATCAAGTCGATTACAGTAATCCTGACTACAATTTCACGGTTTTCGGATTAAAACGAAACTAAAATGCTTCATTTTTGGCCTAAACCGTTTTAGGCACCCAGAACCTTCATGTGCATGAGACCGTCCTTAAGCCGCAGACCAAACCGTTAGCTCAAAAATTAAGACATTCATAGGTCCATATCTACCGTAATCCTGACTCAAATTTCACGATTCTTGGCTTTAGATGACTCTGAAAATGCCGTTTGGAACCACTTTTGGTCATTTTGAGCACTAAAGGATCAATGTAGATTGATTCTAAGCCACACGAACGTCGAACGAGCGATAGATGTAGTCTGGTACAGTAGTCCCTTTGAAAAGACCCAAAACTACAGTAATCCTGACTCGAAAACCGTGATTTCTGGCTTAAAATGAAGCTGAAATGCTCCATTTTGAGCTTAGAATCGTCGGAAAAACAATTTTAGGCACTCCGAACCTTCTAGAACTGCATGAGAACGTCTTGAAGACCTTAGGGTCGCTGCGGTCTAGGCCGCTAGGCCGCCAGATCTAGGTTACTGTTGACTTATCAGCTGACTAGCTACACCGTTAAATCCTTTTCAGTGCTTTTTGACTAGCTAAACGGTTAGGAACACCACCAAGGTGTAGCTTGACATTAAAAATCCCCTTTTCCCACCTAATTCTGGTCCGAATCACTCGAATTTTCCCATTAAAACCCCCCAAATTTCACCCAAACCCTCCCAAAATTTGCAGAGACCCAACGCCGATGAGATATTCGCTGAAAATGTGTCGTTCTATGAGAAAATTCAAAAATTCTACACCGTATTCTTGCATAGCCGACCGGATGTGCTGGATTTATTCGTAAAAACGTATTATTGGGATTATTTGATGCTGAAAATGCCCCTTCCAGAGCTGAAAGTCGCCAAAGTCCGAGATTATAAGAAGGGATGGAAATAGGGATTTTTTGAACTTTTAAAAATAATAAATTTGTTGATTTTAGTCGTTTTTCTAATAGAACAACCCAAAATTTGGGAATTTTCAGACAAAAAACAGAGCTGAAAATGTTGAAAAAAACAACTAAAACCTGTATTAGAAGGGCCGCACAACTACAGTAATCCCTTTAAGAGGGTTAGGTAGCTAGGTTACGGTGCCTTGGTGTCTTTTGGGGACCATACCAAAGATGTGCTTCTCGAGCGGATTACGGTACTTTCCTTTAACGATAATGTCCCCGTTTTTCGGGAGCTACAGTAATCCCACCAATTTTCAGAGGTGCAGATCAGCTATGTAGTTAAAGCTACCGTAACCCAGCTATCCGAGAAGAACCGTAATCAGAGTGGCTACTCAACAAGCTTCCAAATCCAACTGACTAAAACTACAGTAGTCCATTATGAAGGGAACTTGAGAGACCCAGGACTACAGTAATCCCTCCCATTCATAGCTATACGGTTAGTGACGCTCTCGGGGCTTCTCGGATAGCTAGGTTACGGTAGCTTTGGGTTTCAAGACTACAGTGATCGCTCTTAAAGGAAATAGCTTCTATTTTTCCAAGGTACCTCCGGAGGGTCCTTCTATTAGAAGAGCTTTTTGGCGGGAATTTGAAATTTTCAAAAACTCGAGAAAGTTCTAGAGATTTTTGTGTCAAATTTCAGCTCAAGTTTCCCCCCAAAAAACCACAAAACCGTCAAAAACCAGTATAGATTCGAATCTAGATAATACATATAGTTTTCTATGTCACCACAGATTTTGGAAATTGATACAAAAGGAGAAAAAACAGCTAGTTAGCCTCCTTTGTTTCATTTAACAGCTTTTTTCTGGAGAAAAAAACTAAAGTATTCTGGCTACCGTAACCTTCAAGAGCTACAGTATCCCGCTTCGCTACAGTAATCTTCTTGTGGACGACGGAAACTCTAGCTACAGTAATCCCCTCCAAAACAGTCCAAATTGCTGTATCCAATAAGCCTTTTGGTAGACGAAAAACTACAGTATTCCTGCTGAAACTTCATCTCCAAGAACAAGAACTACAGTACCATTTTCTACAGTAATCCCCTCAAAGCCCTATTTTGGAAGACGAAAATCTACAGTATTCCAACTACAGTAATCCTACCGTAATCCCTTTAAAACAGACCACCTCTGAAAACTACAGTATTCCGGCTACAATAGTCTCCAAGTACTACAGTACCCCTTTAATCCCTTCGAAATTGGTCTGAACCACCGCTATCTCCACTACAGTAATCCTTTGAAAACTGCAGTATTGAATCTACAGTAATCCTACCGTATTCCTGCTCGATTTTCATCAGCCAAGAACTACAGTACGCTCTTTCTACAGTGATCCCCTCAAAGCCCCTATTTGGAAGACGAAAATCTACAGTATTCCAGCTACAGTAATCCAATCCTCAAAATTGGCCTAAACTAGCGTATTCTCACTTCCCCGCAACCCCATTCAAACTACCGTAATCCCGCAATGTGGTCCCCTTCCATCCAACGAATCATCATAACTACCGTAATCCTACTATTCCTAATCAACTTCTTCTTTCTAAAAAGGTCCCTAAAACCGTCTTCCAAAGGGACGCGAGATTTAGAAGACGTCGAAATTTTCAATTTCATCGAAGAAATCAATAATTTGTGGTTTGACGAGGGAGAGGAGAAACGATACGAGTTGTATAGGAATATTCCAGCAGGCTCAGCAGTTTCCAGTAAGCTAGCGGTGAGTCTTACTGTAGATTGAACTACAAGATTACTGTACCTTACTAGTTAGATAGTCCTGATTAGCCTAATTAAAAAGCTAATTTGCCAGGGATTACTGTAGCTATTACAAGCCATCACAGTACTTCTCGGATAGCTAGGTTACTGTATCGTTGGCTCTTACAATAGGTTACCTGTGGATTACTGTAGTTGTAAGCCCAACAAGAGGGAAGGTTCTACCGTAACCTTTAAAGGCGCATGCTCTCAGAAATATGTATTTTGAGCAATTTCTGGGAGTATGCGCCTTTAAAGGGACCTCTCTGGCTAATTGTTATCCACTACAGTAATCCAATATCGAACTGTTCAGAAGCTCAAATCAGTGATAACGGGATTTTAAGAGACCCAGAGAATCGTCTGGAACTACATTAATCAGAAGTACCATAGCCACGAGGCACCAATAGCCGTGTAGCTACTCAGCAAGCCGGGAACTACAGTAATTCCTCTTATCTAGGTTACTGTAGCCTTAGGGTTCCTGATTGGACCATACCAAAGGTGTGCTTCTCGAGCGGATTCTGAGGATGTTCCGTTTTTCGAAAACTACAGTAACCCCTCCAATTTTTAGAGATGCAGATCAGCTACAGTAATATGTATGAGAAGCCACCGTAACCCAGCTATCCGAGAAGTACCGTAATCAGAGCTGCTCAACAAGCTTTAAAAAATCCAACTGACCAAAACTACAGTAACCCCTCTTGAAGGGAGCTTGAGAGCCAAACAAAACCGTCTAGAACTACAGTAACCCCCACAGCTACACGGTTAGTGGGGGGCTTTTCGAATAGCTAGGTTACGGTATCTCTGGGGTTTCAAAACTACAGTAATCCCCCGATTCCCTCAGGCAATCGACGCATCAAAAACGGCAATTTGTGAGACGGATACATTCATTGGTCAACAAGTTCTATGTAGTTTTGAAGAGAAGAGAGATGAAGAGACGTGAGAGAGATCAGAGAGAATCTTCTGGAATCTTCTGATTGATTGCAGATCATGTGATAGTGATTCACTTCAACATTACTCGGATTTCGATGATTTCGAACGAGAGAACGAGCTGGATTCGAATTTCACGAATTGGACGATTCTATTCGCGAGACGGGATCCCATCGAGCGATTTATCGATCATTTATGGATTATTGTGTTAGGTAGAGTCTAGAATTCGGCGTTTTTCTAGCTGAAAATGGTCAAATTGTGGTCAATTTGAGCGATTTCTAGCTGAAAAACTCTTGAAACTGAACGAAAATTCGTCCAAAAATCCCAAAATCTGGGTTTTCTGAGCCCTAAACCAAGTCCAAAATGCCACTCAGAACCCCAGACACAGCCGAAATCAGTGCTACCGTATACCCCTCCAAGCGCCTTGAGACCCGAAAATATAGTTTAAAAACGATAAAAATTGGAAAATAATAATTTTTTGACACTAAAAAAGACAAAAACCCCAAAAATGCCAATTTCCAACTTTAAAGGCGCATATCTCCCAAAACTACGGTAGCTATCGAAAAGTTGTCAACTGATAAAATGTGTGAAATTTCATGCTGAGCAATACTGTAATTAGGAAATTTTCGATAGCTTTTTTGGTT